CTGAAGAGAACAGAGGCAAGGAGATGAGTCACTACCACACAGTAAAATCTGTCAAAGCGACCACTCTGATAATTAGATCACCTGTTCTAGAGTACCACTACAACCAAAAAAAATGCAACCGGGACCAATGGATGTTATTCCCCATAGCTATGCCAAAGACGGGCATGCCTGGCGCTATCCCGTACATGTCCCGTACCGTACCATCAAAGACAGCTGGCCAGCTTATTCAAATAGGGCTTTCAACTGCAAAAATCACAACATGAAGCAACTTGGAAGAAGCCCAGCCACCGTCAGCTTTAGCGACGGAACCGCTTTGGCGCTAGAGTTTTAAACTAAAACATGTCAGTGCCGAAAATGTTACGCTTGGCAAGTAGAACCACCCTGCAACAAATCCGGCTCGATCGAGTCAACTCCAAACACGGGACTGAAATGTCTAGCCGGCCAGAGCCAAGAGCAGGAAGGCAGAGCCTTGGTCTTGGACCTGGTACAGCGCGAAGTGCGAGTACGTACGCGTTTATAACCCCTTTCACAATACAACCATGGTAAAAAAAGTTGAATGATACAGATTTGATGAGGCAGCGCACGTGAGAAGAGAGCTTATCTATGACCGAGTCGATGATGCTCTAAATTGGATATGACTTGTACTTCAAGCACATGCCATTGTATCATATTTTCATCGGCGGCTCAGCCGAGGGCATTTCGATTTGTTGCAACTCTGAGCTTCACGCTGCAAGGAGATGATCGCACAACTCAGGCCGAGCATATACCCAACAGTACGCTAGTAAATGCTGTGGTTTGCCAATCTATTAGCCGTGGTTGGCTATAAAAACCCTGCAATCGCCACGCAAAGTGGTCATTGGCTACCCCAGCCATGTGTTGCTTGGAATAAAATAAAAATATCATTATGGCAATCAGTGCATTGGCTCCATTGATCCCCCACCCCCTCCCCCCCCCCCACACTTGTCTCCTTCATTCTTGACTCTAACACCATAATGTTGACGTTAGTCATTCACACTTTAATTCCCGTAGCTATGCAGAAGACGTTACTTCAGTAACATCTGGCGCTAGCCAGGGTCCACACAGCTTTAAGTTAACTGGGTGTTTATTTGTTTGTTTGTGTCACGCCTGGCGCTATCCCGTATCTGTCCCGTACCGTACCGTACCATCAAACACAGCTGGCCACGAACAGCTGGCCACAATATTCAAATAGGGCTTTCAAATGCAAGATCATAACGTGAAGCAACTTGGAAGAATGAGTATGAATGCGAAGTGTATCGGGGAATGCATGTAGGGCGATACTGCGGGTTGGAAAAAAATCCAGGTTATGCCTTGAAAAAAAATTGGAGAATTGAAAAATTTATAACATCCCTATGCTTTTTTGCCTAGGACATCAAGGCGGTAGACGGTGTCGTATTACCCTCGACCGTACCCGTCCCGTACCGTACCGTACCATCAAAGACGGCTGGCCGCAATATTCAAATAGGGCTTTCAAATGCATGATCAAAACGTGAAGCAACTTGGAAGAATTAGTATGTATGCGAAGTGTATGGGGGGATGCATGCAGGGCAATAGTGCGGGTTCCAATCCCAGGTTATGTCTTGGAAAAAAAAGAGAAATTTATAAGAAAATTTATAACATCCCTAACATCCCTATGCGTTTTTTGGCTTTTAGTTTTTTTTTAGTTTGGCTGGGGAAAGTTATGTTTCTCCTCTCTTCCTTCTCGTGAGGAAGAGCTTAGTATTTATTGAATGGACTCGGGATAATGAGCGACGAGAAATGGAGCGACGAGAAATGGCAAGACCTCCGACGGACCGGGAGCGGCACACGCCGGCCCAGTCGTCGAAGCGAGGAACAGCTAAGACAGTCGGCTCAGGAAAATTCACCGGTACTGGGCAGTATCGGACCGTGTCGCGGTCCTTACGCTCTCGAGCTGTGAGAGTTGTTGCTGTAGATATTGCTGGCGCGTTCGATCAAGTCTCCCACCCAGGTGTGATCCACAAATCCCAGCAGTACGGTGTATCCGGCATGCTCCTTGCATGGTTGAAGGACTACCTGCTGGACAGGCGCCCGAGTGTCGTCGTTGGTGGGCAGTCGTCCAGCCCACACCGCATCACAGCCAGAGTTCCGCAAGGTAGCTTGTTGGGACCGACACTGTTCCTCCTCTAAACGAACGATGCCGATGACCACCTTCCACCAGGTGTAGATCTGGCCGCTTATGCCGACGACACAACGCTGTCCACCATGGATACTATTGACCACAGCTCGACAGTCCTGCAAAATGCTCTCGATGCCCTTGTGAATTGGGGTACCAGCTGGAGAATTGTGTTCGAGCCAGCCAAGTCCCAGGCCATGACTATTGACCATCACCGCCCCGCCTGGGACCTCCCAGCAGTACAGTTTGCGGATGTCCCCCTGAATGGAGAGAGAAACCTCAAGCTTCTTGGAGTAACCTTGGACAGCCAACTTTCCCACCGCAACCACCTCCGTACCGTCGCCATCAGAGCACGCCAGCGTCTCGGGCTCCTGCGGAATTCCTCGCCGCTCCTGGATTCTCGCAGCCGAGCAACAGTGTACCGTGGGTTTGTCCGCCCAGTAATGGAGTACTGCCCATTGGTCTGGATGGGCGCAGCAGATTGTCATTTGCAGTGACTTGACCAGACGCAACGCTCAGCCCTCCACTTGATTGGCCCCGGCGCAATGCTGCAAAGCCTGTCTATCCACGCATGGTAGCTGCGTGTACCTACATTTACAAGCTGCTGTGCTCCAATCCTACCAGCCCACTTCGTCACACCTGACCGGAAACGGCTGCAAAGTTTCAAAGTGTCTGTCTTCCGGCACCTCCGTGCTCAGCAATGGCACTGGGCCACTGACACTTTGTAATATGTATGCACATCTGCCCACACACTGCTGCATATTGCCATACGCCTCGTGCCCTGCTTACCCTTTTCTCTGGATCTGAATGTGCACCACTTACGCATTATATAATTATACTTTTTTCAGTTCTCTCCCCCTCCCTTGCTCCCCAACCCTCCCCGCTCTCTCTCTGTGCCTGTCTGTCTCTCTCTCTCTGTCTCTCTCTGTCTCTCTCTGTCTCTCTCTGTCTCTCTCTCTCTCTCTCTCTCTCTCTCTCTCTCTCTCTCTCTCTCTCTCTCTCTCTCTCTCTCTCTCTCTCTCTCTCTCTCTCTCTCTCTCTCTCTCTCTCTCTCTCTCTCTCTCTCTCTCTCTCTCTCTCTCTGTCTCTCTGTGTGTGTGTGTGTGTGTCTCTCTCTCGCTCTGTCTCTCTGTGTCTCTCTCTGTCTCTGTCTCTGTCTCTGTCTCTCTGTGTCTCTCTTTGTCTCTCTCTGTCTCTCTCTGTCTCTCTCTGTCTCTCTCTGTCTCTCTCTGTCTCTCTCTGTCTCTCTCTGTCTCTCTCTGTCTCTCTCTGTCTCTCTCTGTCTCTCTCTGTCTCTCTCTGTCTCTCTCTCTGTCTCTCTCTCTGTCTCTCTCTGTCTCTCTCTCTGTCTCTCTCTCTCTCTATTTCTCTCTCTCTGTCTCTCTCTCTCTGTCTCTCTCTCTCTGTCTCTCTCTCTCTCTCTCTCTCTCTCTCTCTCTCTCTCTCTTTCTCTCTCTCTCTCTCTGCTAGTGGCGCGCCTGGTTGTGATGAAGCCGAGACTCAAGGTCGGCAGAGCATCCCAGACCACGCCACCACTCCCCTTATTCATGGCTCACACATGACGGGTTTACGTGGCTCTAGTAAAAAAAATAAAAAATAGCCCCTCAGCTCTAGTGTCTGTACACCAGGGACAGAACGTCGCCTCGGGAAGGCCATTCCTAGCTATCATCAACGCATACGCACCAACACCGACGAGATGTGTGTCAAATGTCGCTGAGCTGGATAGATTCGACGACGACTTGGCTACGGCGTACTCAGAGGTCAGCAGCAGTGCCCTACTGTACATTTGTGGTGATTTCAACGCGAAAGTTGGCAGTGGCCGCAGAAATGCGAACTGTTTGGAGACGGAGCAGGAGACGACATGCAGGAGAACTGGAACGCTATTCAAAAACACATTCACAGTGCAGCAGCACCAACTGTGAGATACGCCAAGAGAAAAAAACACCAAAAATACGATGATGCAGAACTGGAAGCCCTATCGAAGGAGCAGAGGCAGCTGCGCATGCAGCTGACATTTGTCACTGACGACAAGAGGAGAGAATCCCTCAAAACCAAACGTAACCGAATTCAACACAATGTGCGGAAGCTGTGCCTAGACCGTGCCGAGGCGGAACTGGACCTGAAGGCAAAGGAAGTAGAGAAACTGAAGAACGGCACACAAATGTTCAAGGCAGTTGCCACAATGCGGAGGCGGCCGGCAGTGACCCCGGTAGTGCAGGATCAACACGGCAAACTGGTCGGCAGAGCCCAGGAAGCAGTAGCTATCGTTAAAGAACATTTCCAACACCAGTTTACAGATGAACATGCTTCAGCCATAGAGCCCTTCATCGGTGAGCGTAGACCACTCGATCGGCCTATCACAACTTCCGAGCTCCCAGATACTTTCAAGAAACTAAACAATGGTAGAGCATGTGGCCCGGATGGCATTGCGGCCGAACTCCTGAAATATGGTGGTGAGAAACTCCTGGAGGCTATGATCCGCCTGTTGAACAGGGTCTTCGAAACCCATCAGCCATTAGACCTCGGCCTAGGCACACTGATTGCTCTTCGAAAACCTAACAAAAAGAAGGGACCACCTGGAAATCTTCGTCCCATAGTGCTTCTAACTGCCCTCAGGAAGGCGGTGTCACTTCTCACCCTGAAACGCATCTCACATAGAGTTAATACCTTTCTCAGTGACAACCAGGGTGGATTCCGGGCAGGACAATCAACGGCAGATGCAGTTTGGTGTCACAAATGGCTTGCAGCAACAGTCCAGAAATATAAGTATGTCATTGAAATTCTCGGTATAGACATGTCAAAAGCATTTGACACCATTCAGCGACACCGACTTCTGGCCGTTTTGGAG